TTGTAAATGGACTCAATTTTTGGAGGCTCAACCCATCCCAAACCATAAAAAATGTGAAGACTAAAATTTTATAGTAGGCTAATAAAATAATTCGTGTGGCAAATATTATTGTACTACAAAATAATGAGTTTGAACAAACCAAAATTGTTTGGCTGTTGAGTTCAAACTATTTTAATCGACGACCTTAAACTTTATCGTTTAGCACTGTCGCGGCACTGTGTTTTTTTTTAAATATGATCTGAAATACTTGGTTATCACACAAATTACTTGTTGAATAATGGGTAAATAAATAATTGTGAAAAATGGAATATTATGAAAAGGTTGACACGGGGTCAGAAATGAATGGAAAAGTGAGTGCTCTGTCAAATCCATGATGCGCATTAATCCTAAGCAAATATCATTGTAATTTTGTTAATGTTTTTTCATTTTCAGTCAATTTTTAGTATATTACGAAAGAGTTTTTTCATAACATTCTTTCCTCATTTTCCACACTTTAAGTATGTCTAACCGTGTATGAAGTCACCTTACATAAAAACAAGAAGTAAAAGATTTATTTTCGTTAATGACATGAATAACATGACATCATACCTTTATCCCGTTTCTCCAAATTCAGGAAAGGTAATCTAGACGTTGCTAAGCAACAAAAAATAAAACAATGACGGGGTGGCTCATTTTACCACATCAAGATGAAATCACCCGAGTGGGGCGCGCTGTAATAGACAACCCATGTTGTTGATCACGAGGTATTCAGCCGAAGGTACTGCGTGTTTCGTGATTTGAATTTAGTGCGGACCATTAGTATGATATGTATAAATCAGGACTCAGTTACAAAATAATTTATTTCCCTCCAAAGTTATTTCGTGGGTGGATATGTCACCTATAATTTTCTGGTTTAGTGAGTTCGTTTCATTCCGATAATTTGGTATGTTTGTCTGTTTTGTCTAAAGAATAAACAGACATACTTTCAAGTTTCCGTCAGAAAAATCCCCAATATTGAGACCAAATTCATGCGGTTACGAATCACATAACATGATGTTTGTTCCCACCCAAAATACCGCCAAAATATACTCTTCTCTTTGTAGTCAAACTAGCATGCACTCTTTGTGAACCTTGCAAAATCGTAGATATTCTGAGCCGGGTTTTATCAATGTTTATTCTTTGCATGGAATTATATCATAGAACTTTCTGTATCATCCATAATATATTCTATACGTGCGAAATTTTTGGAATTTATCGCATCGTGGGTAAAAAATTTAAGTGTTGATTCAAGCGCCCTCTCGATTCGCTTGAAGGAAAATTGTTATGTATGCAAATGTACTGTATTCAAATTTTTGTGATATTATGAAATGAAGATGTATTTTTTTTCATTTTCGCAACGTCATCAGTGAATGCGTCATTCTTGGATTACAGTTTTTAAATTCTATTTCGTAGATACATAATACAATATTTCTAATCCCGTACAATATGTACGGAATGAATGAAGAAATTTAAGATAGATCTTAGTCGAGGCAATGGCCTGAAAAAATCCAATAAATTGTCATGTTTGTGTTTCATTTTTACGTTTATTTATCATTTTTTGTTAAGTCGTGATGCGGAATCTAATTTGTTAAATTTGAACCGCGAGTTTTATTATATTCGCAATAAATATAAATCGATATGAGTCTAAAAGGATCTGCCATCGTTTCTAGATTTTACAAAAGTTATCACCACTCATATAAACAAATTGTCGCTTACAATATGCAGATCTTTGTATTTAGTGAGGCCTGATAAGCTGCGACCTAATACCAAAACGCTTTTTGTTATTTCGTATTCTTTTACGTTTACGCACAAAACACGGAGTGTGGCGATGAAAAGTTGACCAAAACAATGTTAATTTAAAAGAAACCAAGCGCATCGGGCGCTGGCTTGATTCACATGAACTCTTTGCTGGATGAATGGGTATTATCAAGCGCGGGTAACATATACTACGGATATTCTAAATAGGTTCATACATGTTCGCTCACACTTCACCCACAAGGGAAATTACTAAAAATATCTGGGTGGGATTCCACGCCTGGCTGCCATCAACTGGTAGGTTACAAATTTTTGGTTTGAACGAGCAATATGTATTCATTTATTTTATACTAGGGTTTAAGTTAATATAGACTGCCTTGATCTATGCGGTCTAGGCTCACCTTTTATATGAATTAAAAAACGCGACAGTGCGGATTGGATTAAACCTCAGTTCGATTCCAAGGCTTAGAAATATTCAACTCAAATGAAAACCATAGAAAAACGGATAATTTCTGTTCAACATTTTCAATAATTTAATGGCAGTACAGCTGACGTCAGATATTAAATTGGCGTATTAAACATATAATAATTATGGCATAACAATATAGTAGTTCTCACTCTCTTTCTCATTGAAGTAGTGAAGTGGGTGATGAATCAGAAATAACGGGTTGCATCCGTGAAAATAAAATTCCTGTATTATTATTAAATAAAATAATATTTATGACTGTCACACCGCATGATCAGGACATTTAAGTCTATCGGGCGGGACAGCTTGTAAAAAATTGGGACTGTCGCGGCTATAGCGGGACGCATGGTAAGCCTAACTATAATAGTCCATCCCTATATTGTAAAGAGTGGATGACCCAAAACCCGAACTATAGTTCAGGGAATATAAGCAAGTAAACAGGACTGAGGAAATGAATCGTACTGAGTATCAGTTATTGGGAATCACCGTCCTTATAAAATCAATAAAATGAAACTCGTGTCTCGGAGGATTATAAATGCGCCAAATGTATATAAACCTACAATCTTCCAAAACATAAAAATATGTAATTTTTTAACTTAGCATGGAAACATAACGTTTAATCACTGCAGCTAACATAGAATGTCATGATCATATTTATTATATGTTTGCAATTTGAGAAATATCTGATGTTTGATTTCGAATATTTTGTTTGAGTAACACAAAGTTTTATATGTAATGCGTACGCTAATTTCGACAATTGACCAGTTCATCACTGGCAATTCAGACACTTGATAATGAAACCGATGAACCGAGTGATAACATTTTTTTAAGGTATTGTTATTTCTCTGTGCCTCAAAATTTTATTGGGATCACTACACACGGGCTATTGTTGTTCATAAGTCCCCAAATTTCACCCATATATCACGTCGTTGTCATGCAGTACCTCGTGTGGGTGACAAGCATAGAAACACGAGCTTTTATACCACTTACTAAAAGGAAGTTCACGGTTGAATTCACGACAAAATGATTTCATTTCAGGAACAGGCCCTGTTGCTAGGAAACGGAAATACGAAATCTACGTATTTGGGAATGATCAACCTGTTTTATGTTCATCTTGCAAGGTTGCAAATTAGTAGTGCATGAAGTGTATACCAATGTACCAACGTTTTACCTAACACGCTACAGTGGTTGTCGTTATATATTACGAAATATAACATTAGTCAGTGACGTAACCTGTGACGTCATAACATCATGCCGAACCCATTTGAACTCGACACATGTTACGAGTTGAGATATGAGATTGAGTAGTTAACATTTTCAAACACCACTCAGCACCGAGACGAGATTTTTTTAAATGGGAAGCATATACGACGTAATTATCTAACCGAGTTTTGAGACTCGGGAAATTGATACATCAATACAACTGTGCTGATATACACAAATTCTTAACATTAAATTTAGACCGAGATATACATCAAGAATTCGATCATTTTGAAATAAAACTAGTATTAGAAATAAATTATCTCAACTAATTTGCGATTGAGAATGAAAATTTTTGTAGGAGACGGGTTTCATACATATGAAAATTGGGTTAAAGTTTAGTATCAACCAAAAAGCTGTTGTTTGAAGACAGTGATGGAAAGAACCAATGCGTTTTTATTTATGTTTTACACATGGTTGAGGTCGGACGAAAATCATTTCTTAATTTTAATAGAATAGAATGCTTATTCAAATATAAGAATGAAGTCAAGTTAACTCAAAATTAATGTTGTGCTATAAAAGTACTGTTTCTTTCTTCGATTTACAATTAAGTAAAAACAATCATCGACTATATTTGAATCCCGTTTAATTGGGTTTCCATAATGTGATAAGGCCTGATTTCAAGAGAAGTCAGAGATTTCTTCAGTCGATCATTGTTTCTAACACGCTATACAGGCCCAGGATTTTAAGCATTTCGCAATGATAATTTTAGTACCACTATAGGAGTAGAAAGTAAATTTCTTTCATGCAGGTGATGCTGGGTTATTTTAACATGATTGACCCTTGTACAGATAATAAAAGCTTTTACTGGGGAACAAAAAACAATTGTTTCTTTACTGTGAAAACAATACATTGCATATGCAGTCAGGTGTGTAGAGCAAAAAGAAGCGAAGTGGAAAATTACTGCCGTCAGCTTATTTTTGGGGTTTACATTGTCTCATGTCAGCAATTCAGAATACACCAATAACAGTTTTTATTTGAAACATTATAGCAGACGTTTGCAAATCCAATTTTTTTAGAAAGTGATTTGAGTATTAAATGGTAAATGTGTACTTACTAAAGAATTTTTTTTCCGAAAATTTCAACTTTTATGGGTATACTTTTGGGACTTTTTAAGCGAATTCTCTCTAATGGACCTCATTATTGAGCGGAAGCTGGGCGGTGGCAATTTTGTGTTCATTGTGGCTCACTATTACACCTAGTGGTTTTTAATAACCAAGTAAAGAATTATTTCAATTGAAAAAAAAACATATCCACTTTGCTTCACACTTCTTCGTGTACATATGAGAAATACAGAAGCAACTTTAAACAAATTATTGCAAAATTGGCTATGATTTTGCTAATTAGAACGCGCCCAAACAAAATAAAAATCTGGGTCTGAAGCCATTTGCCCAGATTTTCAAATTATTAAATATATTATTAAAACATAATATATTGTTAGATTTATTTCAGAAAATAGTGAAAACGGAACACTTGGAAATTGAACAGCACGTAACGTTACCTTGGCCACAGGATGAAGGAATCAAGTGTAGAAGAGCCAGTGAGAAAATCTTCAACAACATCTCAGTTGGTGGATGGTCAGTCAGTTGGTCGCATCAATATACAATTTCCGTATCCAAGAATATTCTTTGAGGATTAGTACATGTAGGGTAAAATTACCCCTTAAATAAAAAATGAGCTAATGAAGAAAATAAAAGAAATTTCAATGTCGCAACGCAGAAACGAAATCGACTCATTGTACCATACTTCCGTATATTTTTTTAATAATTTCAGATCTCGATTAAAACTCTTGAGTATTCTAAAAAAATATGGCGGTGATTTAGACAAAGCTACACAATATTTTTACAGTTTTAAATTTTGTAGACTTTGGCAATAATTTATAACCAATGTGATAACCCACTCAAAAATAAGTGGCACAAATCAATAAGTCACTTGCTCAAAAGTTTGATTAAATTTTGATGGCGGTTCACATCAATGGAAAATCTCGAGTTTTTGTCTGAGCGGCACAGAAAATACAAACGCAGTGTGCCTGCAGTGACTAGACAACTAAATATATTTTAGTTGCGTTCCTCACGTATATGAAATTATTTTCTTTTATTGTTTGTGAAAAAAGGGTTCTTGTTGACTGTCAATGCGCCGATGTGAAACATCTAAAAGCGTCAGAAAACGCCCCAGTCTTGAACTATTAAACGCTCTATGAATTTCAGCTCCCTGATGAAATATTTTATATTTTTTTTTTTTCGTTACCTTGTATCGTTGAGTAAGTGGTAAGATAATATTAAGCAACCGATCTCTTGCTACGTGGAAACAATGTCTCCACAAACCTAATTATGTGGAAATCTTTGTAGTTTTTTTTAAGTATGTTACATGTAATTTTTACACTGTTTCTACCGCTACAGAATTCAATGTATCTCTGTCACACTACAATTTGGTAACACGAGTATACAAAGCTGATTAATCTTTGAACTTTCGAAAATAATTGAAATAGTCTATAAAGTTTTCTTCTTCTATAAATTAATAATGCTTAACATTAAACTTATCTACAATTTCCAACCTAAAAATAAGCTAATTGAGATATAAAGGACTCTGTCAAATCTTACAATTTAAAGTTCATATGCTGTGTATTCTAGATTCTTCGATCGTAAAATAATTTCACGCTTCATTCGCGTTATTTAGCATTTTTTGGTTTAAAAATAATACACCCTGTAACATCGCAACCGCGAAATTTTTCTCGAAAGATTTGTGAAAAGCCAATGCCCAACCGCGAAAACCATTAATTTTTGAGATTACAAAATCCGTTATTTTTTAGAAAAACAAATTTGAATCAGTTTCAAAGTTTCAAATAAAATTGCTAGATTAGTTATAGCGGTAGGTATATAATGAAATATAGTTATTACAATACTTCTACTATAGCTAACATTATCTGTATTTTACGCATCTGGTATGAATGATGTGTACTGTTGCGTATTCTCTACTCTCTACTTATATATATATATGTAACTAGTTCTGCTTTCAAGTCGAAATTGAGTTATGAAATCGGAAATTAAAAACATATTCCTGATCCTAAAATAGCATCAACGTTCGGTTATCAATTCTTTGTCTGCATGTTGCTTCAGTGATTCAACACGTAATTGATAGATTAGAAATCCGATTCACATTAAAAAATTTCTTCTTTGATCAACTGCCGTCTACGAATGGTAGTACTAAAATAACAATCAGCTTCCTGTAGTCGGAATAATTTCCAGCAAAGGCAGAACTTCTCACTGTATTTAGTTTGTAGTCGACTGTATTGCTGTTTATCCACATTTTTTTTTAAAATTACCAATTCATTTCAGCTTTCAATTAATTTCATGTATCTTAGAATGTCTCACAAGTTTAATCGAACTATTATTAAGGTGATCATTTTGAGTAACGGGGAGCGAGAAAAGCATCTGGTTTTTGAACGGATTTGTTTTATGATTAAATTTCGACAAAATTTTCTACCTTTACCAAGGTTCTATTGGGCGACCTATTTCATGTTTACATTTTTCAATTACCGGAATTTTATTTTTAAAATATCGTCCCTAATGCTGCTATCCGTATAAATTCCTATTGAAATCGAATGGTCGCATGTATAATATATTAATATGGATACTTCTCAACCCATCGCATTCTGCAAAATAATGAATCTTATTATTCCGTGCATAACAAGTAAACACGCCTTTAAAGTTCATTGAAGCGCAGCCTAGAAATTTCTAGAACACAATTCTGCGTTGGTTACATGCATGGATAAATGAATCATCGTTCAACCCGCTGACAGCTTTAACTAAATTCACTGTGGTTTTACAGGTAATGGTTCCGTATTCACTTCCATCAATCCGTTGAAAACATTGCGAATTCTTTAGCCTCGAATTGTCGTGGAAATAGCCGGCATTGATTTGAATGAGAAAATAATATTATATTTTTATGTAACCTGGATTTAAATGTTACGCATTTTACTTACAGCGTTATGCAAAAATTTCCATAAACATCCATCTTTATAAGTAACCGTTTAACAATATATTTATATATCGCGATTACATCGTGTCCTTGCTTAATACAGACAATACGATGAATGTAGCTTACCTTTAAATCAATCAATTAGTGTAATGATAATACAAAAGAAAACCAACATAATGTTGTGATGAATTATTGGGTTGCTAATCGTAACATGGGGAACATCTGATTTAATCCCGAGCGAAAGGGTTTACAGAGAACCGAAAATATACTCTCGACCGCATTTCAACCCAAAATTCGAAAACAGCTGGTGACGTGAGATGTATATGTAGAAAAGTGTAATTCATGCTTATTGTCTATATCAAAGTCTTAATTATTCCACCCATGCATAGCCGAAAAGATCATTAGTTGGTTGCACTGTCGAAGTCCTATTTATAGAAATAAATTAATTTTCAGATTTTGATGTTTTGAAGACTGCAGATATAACGCCAATTTTTCATATTAATGACATTAAATCACATGTAAAATAATCTTCTCTAAAATCTATCTTTTCGACTTCGTGATATATTGACACCTGCTCGAAAGCCTATATCTAAGAGTAGACTGTCTGATAATCGCCTAGTAAAATTGTTTTATTGTGTGTGCTGTGGATGCAAATCAGAAGTTGTAATGCACTCTGAGGAATCAGCCTTTTTGCGTAGATTTATATTTTCAGATGCAGATTGGAATTGAAAAATACTATAGTCACGTGTGTTGTACCAAAACAACTCAACAAAAGTCTACAATGTCAATTATTTCTTTAATGTAGTGATGCAGAATAGGCCTCGTTTTGTATAAAACAATTCAGTAACTTCAGGGAATGTTGCTGATGAACATTTATTTTTAGGACTCCAGTTTTAATATTAAGCAATATTTATGATTTGCCTAATTATGATTCAGACTTTTTCTGAACTTCAGTTACTTGAAAATCTTTATGCTAACACATAGTCCTTCGTCTCAATAACACAATATGACTCAAATTAACGAAATTTTTATTACTTATTGAAAAAAACGCAATTTCAAGTTTCGCAAATATTACCAATTAATTAAACATTGAAAAAAAATTGGAAATTTGACTTTGACAAAATACAGAAAACACGAAGAGAAAATCCATCGTCTTCTGTTGATGACAAAATTAGACTGGACAGGCTGCAAAACAAACTGGATCTGCGACGGCACACATGCAGGAACGTGCAACTATACCTAATATAAAAACGAAACACCTTGAGTCAGGAAGTGTATGGTTAATCCAGTCAGGGACGACCTTGGGGAATCGCAATCTATGCGATCGCAGTAGGTCTTGCGCTAAGTCTATATGGTTAATTTAAACAATATAATCATATACAAGTCACTGTGTTTATTTCTTTCACACAAGACTCGCAGAGTAAAGTTAATTTATTCGTGTATTAGTGATAAAATGTAACGATGAATTAATCTTCTATTACAAAATCTTAATTACGGTTATCATCCTAAATTTGCCCAAACCAGGCCCCGCGCAGTCCGTTTGGTTTGGGGTCTTGCTTTAAATAAGGCCTGCTCAGGGACTTTTTGTGAATATGCTACCCATAAGCAGTTGCAATGGGAAAAATTGTGATTTCTATGATAGCTGTGCCTACTTTTATTGATCATTTTGAATTCAGCTTTCACCTTACATAAATCAATAGGTGATTGCCAGTGAGCGAATGTATTTTTTTAACTAGTTCACTACATTACCTTTTTTGGCTTTTCTCTCATTTTCTAAAGCCGGTATGCAAATAGTTTGATAAATTGTTGGTTCTGGTTCATCTACAAGACAGAGTTCCGCCAACATGCGCAATCCTATTTTACGCATTATTATTCTTCCCTCTTCTGAAAGTTGGTTTTCTTGAAACTGTCCACAAAAATTTGTAAATATTACCTTTTTGCTATTAAATCGCTATTTTATTTGCCGTTCAATTTACAGCCACGCTTAAACCAAAGTTCCAAGTGTGAATACAGAACCCACATATGCAACCAATAATTAATAATAAAAATACTGTTTATTCAATCGGTCTATCTATACCATTTTTTTTTCAAGCAATTTAAAAACTTCAAGTAAATGTTTTTTAAATCCCGATGCAAAAGTTATAAGATATTAACATAGAATACTCAAAACTCATACAAATGAAAAAAATTGAAATATGTTGAGATTTAATTAAATTATTAAATGCTAGTCTGAAGTAAGGCGATCAAGTGTTTGTGAGATCGCACAGTAAGCGTCCTGATTTATCCATGAGCAAATAGTGTAATTTATACTCGCACCTCTGAGAGGAGTGGGGAAACCACAACGACAAAGTTTAAAGCAAATACAGAAGCTTGTGTATTCAGCTGGTAGCTGTTACATGGATTGACCTTTGAAGTGGATAAGATATTTGTTGTGTAAATCATTCATTCAACAAAGCAATAAATGAAATTTCCGCAATATCTTTAATTGCTAGCATATGCTCCGTGCTTAAAACAGAATTGAACAAATTATCTGTTCCAACTAAAATATACGTGCAATTTTATTGACATCAGTTCCTAATTTGATAAATATTGCGAATTGCTACTTCAATGTAGTTTATCCTATTTTCAGCTTTGTTGATTGTCGCTTTATATTTTATTGCAAAATTTGTTTTCCAAAAACTTCATTTATGCGGAATTTATCACATCCTATCTGTATGAGCTGCTTCAACTTTTGGGTCATCGTTAATTACTAACCGATATAATTCTATATTGTATCACCAGCTTTCGGAACTTATGTGTTTGTCCGCAAGTTTTTTCAGAGATCTCTTCTTTTCCTTCTGAGTGAGTGCTCGTGACCTTGCTATGAGCAAATATTGTCATGTAATCAAATTAAAATATACAATAAACACCAAAGAACGTGATTTCACAGCTTATGAACTATAGGTTCAGAACGCTAGCAACTTAACGACGTGAATTTGGAGAATTCTGGTCTCGCATATATATATGATTCAAGAAGAAATGCAGTGGTAAGGATATATATATTTTCTCACCTCGACAAGTTCCTGTTCATGCTTCTTTGATGGAAAAGAAAAAGCTGACGAGAACAGGAGACAAAACAATATCGTAGCTATAAATTTTAAACTCATGGTCAATCTAATTTGAAATATATAGATATAATTCTGTAAAATAGATGCTTGCGTAAAATATTTTATATTGGATTAAATTCATGGTTTTAAAAAAAGATAAACTGATATTTTTTGACTATTTGACCTATATATTGATGAATAACTATATAATCAAATATTAGAATATTTTTATCACATTCTCCAAAATATGTTATTGTCCAGCGACCCTTCTATCAAAAAATTCCAATTCTGGGTAGATATACTGGCTTTCAATTAATCGGGAAAATTGTGAAAAAGTGCAGGTGGTTGGTTAAGGTGGTGCAGATGGTGCGACAGCAAATGATATGCATAAGATTTTTCGGGGCTCCCGAAGTATGCGAACCAAGATGTCGGACATCGGAATGTAATATGTGTACTAGGTTAGGGTTAGGTCATAATTTTAGGTATAAATACTACGGGAGGCTCTTGGCTAGTCTTCGAACTGATAATAGGACTAAAATGAGGAAAATTGGAAAAAAATTATCGCCTAACCCTAACCTGTTACCCATGTTACGTTCCGATGTCCGCCATCTTGGTTCGCATACTTCGGGAACACCGATTTTTCAATACATCAGTATCATCAATAGAAATAGATAAGTCAAATTTTTATATTATATGCGCCTCATCAACTGAAACCCGAAAGATATCCTAATTAAAACCTTTGTCCTCTTATATAAGCGATAGCTGCAAATAGTGTAGACTAATCCATCTCTACAGTACCCGTATTGCTGCTATCGATGGAAAATCTTTCATATCTTGACAAATATCAAAACTTGCGATATCAACCTGGGGTAACGAAAGTTGATACGTAACCACAATCCCATTAGGTACTATTTTCAAGCCTTTTAAGCTTGAACTAATTTGGTAGCTCAGGATCATCAAACTAGTTACCGAAAGCGTATCCACTGAGCTGCCGAAAAGTTTCAATGTAATATTTATCAAACATATTATATGATATTTATTCTAGACTATATCCAAAACTGTTCTAATAATTTTTGTCCCACGTAGCTTTTATCAATCGAGAAAAAAATGAAAATGTTCAAACATTCTAATGGCATACGGCAGTCATTCTAAATTATATTTTAGAAACCTGGCAACCTGTGTGCCAAGCATGGCGTATCGCAAGTATTATTGTCAGTGCATGCTCGGCAGACAATAATATGAATAAAATAAACCTGAAAGATGGAAGTACCGTTAATTAAAATGAGTGTCATTTCGTAACTTTTACAGTATAAAAGAGTCCACATTTTAGGTTTGATTTTCAGGAGTATCCTGACCTATCGTTAATTTTATTGTGTTTGAATAATTTTACAACAAGATACGCTGCCTGATGTGGTGGGATTTACAATTCTAATTTACTACAACACGCCCATTTTCGGTTTTCTCTGAAGTTATAAATTGAGGGAGAGCAAAGAGAAGATCAATGCCATTTATTAACCTGAGGATCGCAAATAGAAAACATTATATTAAACATGGCATTTATGGCAACCGTCGCCGAATATATTTTGTCTACCACAATTACCTTGTCATCTGGTGTTACCTCAATTTCCTGACATTATAAAATTCCATTTTTTAAATACCGTTCTCCCCCCTTTCCGTTTCCGCATGTTTATCTTTTAGGCGTACCCCCTGAATCTTAAAGAGAAATATATTGCCACGAATGATCTTAACGACTTAATAACCGTTAATGAGACTCTGTTGGCTCGGCTTGCACCACGGCTGTATTTGGTCGCCATGACTATCGTAAATAACAAATATTAAAATCGCCTTGATATTGCTTGGTAAACAATAAAGAAACTTTGGTTTTACATTTGGCAAGTTTAACATTTATTCTGGCATCTCTATTACTTCTATAATCCCGCGGCGTTAACTAATAAAATTAGCATCAGACATTCTCAGATTTTACTTTTACTATTGTTCACAACAAAAACCTCACAGAAAAAATACTTTATTAAAACATTTGGGGAATAATTAGGGCGTGTCACAAAATGGATACTCCCGTAGTATGTGTACCAGGTTAGGGTTAGATCATAATTTTATTCCGATTTACCTTATTTTGTTCTATTACGAGTTCGTGGACTTTTTGTGTTAGCCAAGTAAATATACCCCTACCCATAGGCTTCTGTCCCTACACAACTTGATGTAGAGTAGGCGAACACAATAACTTACCTCCATATTGATACACATACGTCTGGAGCGTCAAAACTGTACTTATGTATAAGTATAATATCGGAAATTAGTTGAGTTACTGGCAAGTTTTCAATCTTCCATAGTGTTATAACTTATAACAAATTGCTAGAATATAAACATAATCTATTATCTATCTATGGAAAACTGCTACAAAATGGTAAATTATTTCTATCATAGCCTGACTTGGATATATATATTGAACATAACAACAAGTACCCATCTTTTATCATTTGTTTTCCACTGGACTTCATGAAGCATGTTTATATAGCTCGTGATGAAGAAATCACCTCGTATTTACATAATTCGTCGTGAGTAAGAGTTCAGCCTGACCATTCTAAAATGCATATACTCATATGTACGTGATATTAATTCTTCTGTTTTTCAGACACAATTTGTTTATACCACTATGGGTAATACTAACAAGAAACATGACTCTGATCTCCCGAAATAAGAGCAAAGCGAGATAAAGTTGCTTTTGTTTATAAACCTCCTGCAATACATGTTCAGATTTCTAACAATTCGATTCACTTCTTACTAACAGATGAATATTAGTAGTTCATAGCAAGTGTGATTTGTCGTTAAAATATTTTATGAGAGATCGGACATATGACAATACATTTTTACGAGCAAATTTTCCATATGTCCTTGTATTTGATTGCCAATACACGAAAGGGTACGATAACATTAACTCAGACTGCCTCCGACATTCACGGCTGACAGTAAATCCTATTTATATATTGGGCTATTACTAAAATAAAGTTTTCAACCTTTTACTGAAAACACAAGAAACATGTGTGTATTTTATAATGTGGCACTACATCCTTTGTGGCGTAACACGCAAAACGAACAAAAACATTCCCATATCGCTTCATTTAAGGTGGGCAATAGCGGGCGAGGGCGATCTCTAAAGACAAGGACCGATGGCGCACCAGCGCTATGGACGTTTCCCCGATCATTGACCCCGGAAAAATTACTCTTATACTTTACTATAGCAAACTTTATGCTTATTCTGAGAGTGTTTTGGTGTGTTGGCGCATATAAACTGGTTTACATGTTCGAAACCATAATTTTTATTAAAATTAATCAACCATGTGCCGTTGCAGATACTGATATAGCTAAGTTTAGCCTTGTCCATCGCAGCATTTGCGAGATTCAATTTTGATCACTGCAACTAAAGTAAAGCTCCGCGGAAGAGATAATGACAATTGAGTTAATTAATTCACTATTTTCTTGAAACACAGCTGAAAACTGACAACTAACACTCAAAACTACAAAAACGAGGCAATGTTTGCAACCATGCTTGAATATCTGTTTGAGCGACAAAAGTGTCTGAGCGGCTGAGTGCAGAAATTGCAATTGTTACGTGTTGCGTCATTATTGACTTATTGCTGATTGGTTGTAGTTACGGAAAAAAACAAGGAAACTGATGCTTGGGGAAACATCCATAAACGCTGTTCCGCGAATACATACAGTAAGGAAGAGAAAGCGTTGCCGGTATATTTTAGTCAACTGAAAGGTTAATTGTTGCAATAATTCAAATCTGCTCGCGTATACCAGTTGAAAAGCTCCCGCGTACCACTAGTGTTACGCGTACCACAGGTTGAGAACCACTGCTATAAAACAACTATTTGTAAACGGCACATTTATATTATAAAAAACAAATAGACACAGGCACATCAAATGTAATGATGAAACATTATGTTATGCCTTAAAACATGAAAATACTAATTATCATTACCATTTCAATATTGAATCAGAAATCATATATATTTATTCCTACCATTCTATTTTATTTTTGGCAGAGGCATTTTATTCTATGATTCATAAAAAAAAAAGAGTTTAAATTACTGCGTCAAATTACAATTTTTCACATATATATTATTAGTTTTTTATTCCGTATCTAAACCGACTGTTTATCAAATATTCGGTTGTGACGTAACAAGTGTGAATAATAAATTGTTAAAATTCAATTTAATTAATATAATTTATTGCAATGTAGTAGTTCCAGAGAAAGTTCTGCTTTGCTTAGAATAAAAATACCTGAAGCTGAAAAGCGAGAAGATTAAATGCGATTTTATGGATTAAAGAAAATAAAACAAATTAAATCGTGGAAGAAAAAAGCTGCAAAATAAAAATTAAAGTCAGACTTCTCATGTAAGTGTACAGTCTTGAAAGCGATGATGCTGTTGTTTCGAAGCAATTGAATGCTATTCACAAAAAAATTAAACAGTAATGTAAAACTATTGTATATTAAACTGAACAAGACGTTGTTGCACAAGTGGGATGAGCTTAGCAAATTTACATTGTCGCTTAATAAATATAATATTGTAACTGAAGTACGATTTAAGACTTGATGTCAAGCAAGGCAATAAATAGAAATAGACAATTTATACTTTTGTCAGCGGATTTAAATACCATGAGCAATTTTCTGAATTGTCATATTTGTGTGTGCGCGTTGCATGAACAGAAAGTTGACAAAACGATCAATTCGTGAACTAAATCCAATTTAACATATATCCATTTGTGAAGTAATCACATGAAAAAATATAAAATTTGAGTTCCATTTCGAGCTTTCTTAGGATTTTTTATGCGCTCAATTGTTTTGTGTGATTGTATAGCAATAAGTACATTTATTCGTATTAAGGCTCAAACTATGTCAATATTATCCGATTGTGAATTTCATATTAGCTTCTCTATTTAGCTCCATTCATACCTTTTACAGATATACTATCAGGTATAATTCCCCTAGATCGGAGGCATTTTGCTGCTAGGAACATAAAGTAAGCACGAGTACTTTCTTACAAAATTTAGTATAGAGCGTAATGGAAAATTACAAATTAAAGTCATAATTGAAATTTCTGCGCAGATAATTAATTAAACCTAATTTGGTCATTCTGCAGAAATCAGAAACTCGACTATTCATAGAGCTCCGTTATATTCGGTAACCTTGACATATTTTATTTTCATTGCCGCCTTTTCTCCTTGCCATGTTGGATACCAGTCATCTTTTTTGTCCCAAAAATCCTAAAAAAATATGTAAATTACACCATTAATATAGTATAGAAACACCATTCAGGTCTATTTATTTGCGCGACGCTTATTCGCGCCCCTATTGCTCCAATCAATACCCTGCACGAGCATTTACTGATCTCTGACGATATATGAGGAGGTACTAATATCGTAAAGACTGGATTCTTTTTGGTTCGGCATTGCCTACTCAATTTATTGCATGGGTTGGGTTTTGTAAACGAGATGTGTAACCTGTGAAACGAACAACACAAGTGCTAAGCCTCAACTAATAGGCCATATCTCCAACATTAGAGACGAAAGAAGATCAAACAAAAACAAAAATACTTTTAAAAAAGATTCACCTTTGCAGCGGTGGGTGAGTTGTTAGCCCAAGGTTTATCTTTTCTCTCCTGTCCATTATAGTTATTGGCATCATCTGGGAAAAAACCTGTAGTTCCACCAACAGCCACGTTTAATATCAGATAGTATTTCTGGTCGAAAGGAGCAAGCTTTGAACCCGCAACCCAAGGATTATCGCCGTTATTGGTTTTCGTTGCAAAGTCTCCCCACTCGTACATTGATTGACCTTCATTAGGGGCAACGTTTAAAATATTTTCATCGTCAATGTAAAATCTGTTATTTAAAAAGTGAAATCTATTAAACTTCTGGCCGATTGATGATTCATTACTTGAGTAAAACTACTATTTTGTTATTATTTTGCATTTATTTTGGCAACAATGGCAAAAGTACTTCTACATCTGAATATATCTTTTTGAACGACTAAAATTGGCTGTGAAACAAGCTCAGTAGTTGATCACAAATGACTTCTTCTATTACTTTGAGTCTGATAACTGATTAGTTGTTTCATACTTTTATATCTTATATATTTTGCGAAATCCATTTGCTTTTTTACGGTTGATCACAGTTTTCATACTTCTTCTATCATTCAATCTATAAAAATGCGTATTTCTGTGTTCCTATATATTCAATGTTGCCAGGATCGCGTATGTTTTGAAGGGGACAGTTCGAAATACCTTTGACAGTTTTTTTTTTATTGTGTGTGTGTGTATGTCTGAGTGGAAAAGTTACTGGATGCAAGTCGAAACCATTTTTTACGTGTGAGAATTACGGACAAAGGAGTTGACAGACGAAAAAACGAGATTTAATTGTGTATTGTTGAATCTTACTTTAAGCCGCTGGGCCTCCATTCCAGAGTATATTTGTGGAAATCATCTGCGAATGTAGAGTCAGTCAAAGTTCTAAAACAGAAAGAAATAAGTTAACTGTGAAACAAATAAGTCAACTTTCTCAACTCTCCATTTATTGTGATTTATCATAACTAAAGTTTATCAATTATAAAAGATTGACATTCATTACAAAATAACAACATAATATAAAATACAGCAAGGTTAATTAACTGTATAAACACTGTCTTCTCCTTCATCTAAATATAAAAGTTGTGATTTAGAACACCCCATTGTTCGGAGGTTTATAGCAGTAAGGACTCTGATGTGACGCGTGTTGCCATAGCGCAAGAATGTGATACGTTTTAATGGGAAATAGCAGGAATGGGTCTTGAACATTGGAATATTTACACAGCGTTGTTACACCTCGCAAAAAAAGTAAAATCAGATTTGAACCAGCCAAGCATCTGGAATTTGAACCCCGCTTTGTTAGGCAGATAACTTGTAAATGTATGTTGAGCAAATTAGACCGTCGCAACAAAAACGTCATATGAATACAATTGGGTTTTGACCAGATCAACATGATAATACAGAACAAAGTCGGATTCCTTCAGTAACGTGAGATGAACAAAAATAAATAAATAAAATATTTGACTTATTTTCTTCTAAATCTTGACTTGAACTTTGAAGTAAAATTTCGAATCAATTGAAGTTTGAGATTTGATCGTTCAACCTGTCCTGCCATTATATCGAACGATCTCTATTGATCGCCCAGGCGACCGCGAACTTTTTATAGTATATATTTTGCTTCGAACAGGGATCTAAAACTATGCAAGGTAACTTAACGATGATTATTCACAAATACAATCTGTTAATACAGAATATTTCTGTTGTTTTGTGCAAAATCAACCAGGAACACTGGTATGAAACGAACTCCTTTATGTTGGAAGATCCGGAATATTTCCGGTTCGGCGTTGCCCACCCAATTTATTACAGTCTGGGTGATGTGGTGGGCATGAGATTCGAACCCAAGATTTTTACCCGTGGTGCCATCAGAGTTAGTTAATTTTTTATTCATCTGATCTAGCACAAAGTTGTCAATTTGATATAGACACTTTGCAGACATCGTTGACCCTATGATTTGATTGTTTATTTTTTGACATTATAGGATTAAGGAATCAGATTTTATAATATTTTGAAACGTTTTCATAAAAGTTCGTTATCCTAATTATACAGATGATAGCAAACTTACTTAGTATTATGCGTCATGAACCAATTATTCCATGGCCAATAAGGTCCCCAGTGTAGAGTAGAGCCGGAACTATGTGCCCCAATCATCTTCCCGGATGCATCTGACAAATTCATGTTTCCTATATATAGAAAATGATTGGTTGGTTGACAGTCTTATAATATTAGGATAATCAGATTCCGAAGGATTCACTCTGTTTATTTTGTGGTGTTAGTCAATTCAGCTGTTATTTCGTTCCCAAAGTATAAACAAAATATAAGGAGAGGATATCTTCTTACCTCTACTTTCCATAATATCAATTTCGCCTGAAGCCGGCCAGTCACCGTATGCGTTCGTCGTTGGAAGCATCCATATTGCAGGCCATATCCAATCTCCAGCTGGTAACTGTGCTTCAATTTCGACTTTCCCAAATCTTAATGAATATTTATTTATTCATTAAAACACATTCTAGTCTTTTACAATGAGAACCTTCCTTTGTTTAAACTTTTACGTAAAATGTCACATTTTTTGCACAGTAACTGAACGATGTGCTCGAGAAAGCATAATCTTAAGTTGAAACGAAATTCCCTACTAATGTGAGCGATCTATTGAGATTTACTTATTTGCGAAGTCTAAATATACCTGAAATTTAAAGATTCGACAGTTCGCAAACGAGCAGACTGAATCGGGTTTACGATAGTTCCCTCGTCATAGTTGCCAGTTCTTTCGCATCCATGCCATTGACGTCCGGTACACATGTTTGCTGGGGATGAGCCTATAGGCATGGAATTTCCAAAGATAGACAATCGTCAATAAAGCATTGCGTGAGACCTCACAGTACCTTACGCACATAAGACACATTACATCACACAATAGACTTAAACACTTCATTTCATAAACGCTCCAAAAATTCAAAAATAATCATAAGGCCTACTTCTTTGTTGTGCAAAAACACTGTGATGCCCTCTAGTTCTAATACACATAAACCTTTTGGAACACTATCTAGTATCGAGAAATAAAAACATGCATTTAATAAATAATACAACATGTCTATTCTAATTGCCCACTTGACTATGACCGATTTTATGTCATTTTCTAACACTGCCCTGATATGGATGGTACCAGTTTACCTTCCAGAGACAAGGTTCCATTCTTGACAAAATTTTCATCGTATTTATCTGAAGTTAGAGTCTGCAAATACAGAATAAGGAAATACAATGTTTTAGTCTGGAAATTGTTACTCATGGTATCATCATATAAATAGCCTTCAATATACTTATATATTTATATTGGTGTGACCATACTCCAATGGAAATCTAATATTTGAGAGGCTTGAATAGAATAGGACTTAATTAGCTTCATTTTATTCAAATAATTCAAGAAAGAAGAGTAGAAAAATTTCATATTCTAGAAGCCATAAAATTGTACCGGTTTCAAATAGAGAACTCCGTCTTTGACGTAGCTATTTGAGCGGTTGTTTGTGTAATACTGAAATTCCCAATTCTGTCAAAATAATGTTTTATTCATAAATATATTTAGAAAAAACATGACAACCTTTAAAAATTATTCAGAAAAAGATTAGACCTAATTTGAACCCGGTTACTAAGGGTATCTTGAGAACACAGCGTTTACAAAAACGGTGAAAGTGCGTGAATTGTATATTTTTCCTTTTTTTAATATAAACATTTCTTGAACACAAATTTAATTTTGTTAAAAAATATGAAACGGATTTTATAGGGAATATAATACAAAGATACTTTCTTTATGAAAAGCTTAAATAAAGAAAAATCATTGGCAGGAAGTTATTTTTTAAAGTGGCCAAAGAATTTTATTTGATAGACTTGTTTTGCAAACTGAAAATTAGAGCAAAAAGACGAACGAGTAAGCAAGTTTGTGTTAACATATGATAAAAACAAAATTAATTGTTCCAATTGATTTACATTGAATACGCAAACCGAAACAAAATGCATACAATCTTCAAATCAATCCAGATCTTAAAAACTACTTACCCCTCCACCACCTGCCGTAATTTCATGTTGCCAGGTTCCAAGATCCAGAGTGTCAAATTCATCATAAAATATCACATTTTCTAAAGAGAATAAATGTTGATTGAAACCAAGAAGGGTTGTTGTATTGACTCAACCGTTGTTCTGTATATAAACAACAGTTACAGATGATTGAACTGTCGCTTTTCTGTGACCAATTTAAGAGTTTGCAGCTAATAAAAAATTGCACCAAATTATATTTCCACATTCTAAACGCGACATGAATAACAATTGTTTCATACTAAACAGCAAAAAGTATTGGCTTACAAGAGAACAATGTTAATTAATAAAGCTACGAAAATTGAATTATCACCAATGGATTATACATACAGAATATTAATAGAGTTGTAAGTAAACGATGATTTACCAAATTCTTCCGTGGGGGTGGTAGAAGATTGTTTGCAAGTAAATGATAAACCAGTAAACATGAACAGCAGAAACAAAATGTACGATTTCATGTTTGTTTATATTATATTATTAATTTGAACTGTAACCTGTAACAAAAAGGTATTATGAAAGAGAAACTCATGAAAAAAAAAGTCTTGTGCATTGCATGACGACTTTGAACGAAACCGCTGTATACATTGTATACTGTCATGGTGGAAATCAAACTATGAAAATATGTTAACTACGCAGTATTCTTTCGGACGAAACGAATCTTGACGAATTTTATCCATTCATGAACGAAATTTGTGTTCCAGCCATCGCAGCAATTTCCTTGAAAGTATCATATAATCCGAAATTCACCATCATTTCTGTTGCGAATATTATTCGACATTAACGCGCCAGTAGTCACTTGCATTTTCAAACGAATGATCGTCTCCCGCCTTGAAGTACTGTACACTCATTTAGAATATATCTAAAAGTTTTTTTCTGATATCTTTGTATAGCAACCGGTATTTTATACTGACGAAGTCATCGTGCGCCATCGCTAGACAAAAGATTTTGCAAAATATTTGCGATCTTTTCATCGGCTACTTGCAATTCAGTAAATGATTCTTAAGTAATGCCATATATATTTACTGTCGTTTATATAACTCTGAAAAGTGCTTTTTGGTTGTAAAAATTTTGCGTCTTTTATGGAAAACACGTCCCTTCATTTTAAATATTTGATAGAGATGTCACAAAAAGTTATCACAATGTGAAATGGCACTTTTCGGTATGAATTGACAGAAGCCTGCAAACAAATGATTACCTCAGTTGCGCACATTTCTTTTATGCTCGAATTGTAAATACTTTCCATTGTTGCGGCTACCTCAAATGACCGGGCAAGTCGAACAGGACAGAAAGCCGAACAAATATGACCGATAAAACGTATTAAACAACCTTTCTTTGTGTAAAATAAGTGGAATTCCTAAATGATTTATGCAGTCGCCGGAGACGAATGAACTTGTAAAACATTTGTGGTAGAAATAAAATGCCAATAATTTCAAAATAATATAATAAATATAATAATATACAATAATCGTAATAGCTAACAGAATATGAGTAGATTGCGATTATCAGTTAATGAAGTCAAAATCTTGGTCGATACGAAGGCGGTATTTGTTTAAGTACATGATATAGCATAAAGAAGCGGCAAAACATCATTGTGTAAATATAAGTTTATATCCGGGTTCACGCAAAATAAGGTTTCAAAAGCGAAATGACCTGCATTTTTGTCGCTAATGCGAGGAATGGGCGGACATTCATTCATAAATAAAAATGTTTCATCGGTCGGAAAACTTTGAAGAATCCAGGAAGAGCAACATTTAGAGGTATCTAACGACTTCGCCGTATTACTTACTGGCTCGATATAAAGAACTCCGTCTGTGACGTGTATGACACTATCTCTATCACACATAGCAATGTTTCGTAGCTTTGAACGATTTTTAGAACATCAATTCTCTTGGAAACTCATCTAGCTGTTACAGTCTAACATGGCAATTACAAATTTCAGAACTTGAGCTCACCTAGTATGCCTACTCAAACTGGGCGTTCACACTTAAATACAAACAACTATTTAAAGAATAAAGACAAAACAGGCTGTCCCGAAAAGAATATATGTATATATATATATATATGCCATTCCCAGTTATTTCATGTTGCCATACGCCCAAGTCTAAAGTTTGGAATTTGTTATAAAAAGTCGCTTTTCCTAAATGAAAAAAATTTAAAAATGAAAGAACGTGAAGAAAAATTTCATATTAAAATTTAGGACATAATTTTTAAGCTCAATAAAGCAAAGTGAAATCTTACAAATACAATAGCATCATTTCAGCTGCAACTTTTAAAGTATAGTCAGATAAATATTAAATCCATATTGCAATATACAATACATTGAAATTATTAAAAAAAAAACATTGCGATTTCAAGGCACAAAGATAAATTTTACATGAGCAATTCCAATACTTCATCATTTAATAATATAATCTATCACCAACCACAGATGTAGAACATTTGAATGATGTCGAACATTTGAAAAATGCTTACGAAATTCTTCAACAAAAGTTTGCAGTCGATCGCCCAACCCAATCGATTAAAATGTACCTGAAGGTTGAAACAACAATAATAATTGAGAGAATGCATGCACCGATGGTTCTTAGTTCGGTTTGGATTTTTAAAAATATAACTATTTTACAAGCAAAATATTTCAACTTAAATCTTGACGAATAATATACAAAGTTTTGCTTCATTTCGGTTGAATTGACGAGACCGATTTAGGCGGTTTCCTAATTACGTAAGAGTTATTATTACAAACCATCTTGTAAACATGCCCGAGATAAGAAACTTCGAATACAAAGTGGGCCAATAACGTTTTACGGATTTTGTTGTGTTTCCTTTTGGCACCTTGTTACGCATTGCCACATATTGCAAACATCATTAGTCGAATGGTCAATCGTATTGCATTTTTGTCAGACAATAGCAATATTCTATACGATGGTATGCAAATTTTTTAGTAGAGAGAATCACACTCGTTCTTATCAAAAAATAACATACAAAATAATAGCATACAAAATAAGAGCAATTTACCCGCCAATATTATAAGTTTAAAATAAAACATTTTGCTTCCATTCCACACTTAATTTCAACAAATTTATATACAGCGTAAAATGGCCTATAAATATCTAGCAAACACCTCAAAACAGAAAATATTAGCAAAAACTTATTGCAGGGTGTATACTGTACTTTTGTAATGTTTGAAGTGTCATATGTTTGCCGTTTGCCAGAGTCTGGGGGGCCTTCGGTTTCTGACCATTTCGGACGACATCGTTGACCAGCACAGACTATATCGTATCGCCTATTTTTCTTGTTTCAAATTTATTTTTAGTTTTTTATTTGAAACGGAAATGTTCTAAACACTATTCCGTTTCAATTAATGTTTGGGTATTTGCTACCGACATAATGTAACAATAAATTTGGACTCTTGTCGTTCTAATATTCAATGACTATGTGCTGTATGGTGCTGGTGTTGCTTAATAATTAGATGTTAGCCAAGTGCCACAGCATTCGCCATTGACTTAATGACGTTCACGCGACGTGGCATCACATCATTTTGCGTGACGCGTTCCGTAAGTTTAATAATTCAGGTTTTTTACCACCGTAGTGACATTACCTATGAACAGAAGCGCAGCCAGGATTTTTAAAAATGAGGGACGAGGGTTCAAAATTAGAATTGAAAATTCCCGGGCACCATTACTCGCAATTAGACCACTCGTTGAAACAAAACTTTTTTAGTGGATAACGAGTTTCCATCCATGGCCGATGCGAGCATTCAAAATGTCCTGTCATAATAATTTAATTGTGTTCATCGTTACCACCCAGCTGAGATTACAATTACTATTGTGAAAATGAAAAATACAATTTGAATAACATCAAAAAAAGTGCTAAACTGCCAACTATAAATAGATTGGAATCGTATTTTTGCGATCTTGGGATTCATCACATTTGAGTTGTTCCCTCAGCGGCGCTATAACTACCATAAATAACCTAACATAACACCAAAGTTTGTGACTTAAAATGTCTTCCGTTTTAGTTTTAGTATTTTATAATGCCGCTTTTCAATCAAAAAATTTGGGTTGCCGATTCACCTCTTTATTAATTATTTTTAGCATCTCTTCGTCGATGGTTATAATATACTAACTTGTTTTACATACTGAACCACAATTCCGCACGAGAACGAAAAAGTAATTATCGCCGTCCTCGTGAAATAATACAAGCATATATCAAGGAAAATTTGTGATTAAGGGAGCATAAACACGCCACGCTGACGAAAACAATCGGCTATTTCAACTAAATCCAACCGCGCATGTTTCAATAGCGACTTCTTCAGTCTTCCAAATATATCAAAAGGGGGACGGGGTTCGACCCCAAGTTCATTGATATGATTGTCAAGTTTTCAAATTTATAGCCCTAATATAAATAGTTTATCTGTGAAATTTAGATTAAAAAGTTTTAGCATTTTTAAATTAAGTAAGATAATTTTAACTTACTCAGGAATATTAATTAGTAAATAACAATGTGTGTTTTGTTTGCTTTATTTTCAAAGTTTATTGCGGGGCTTCGTGAAGAATAGTCAACATCTTCAAGGGCTCCGTAACATTAGAGTTACCATATTTTTGTGGCTTCAAATCGGGACGCCTCAAATTACATGCGCATATTCTCTGTCCAAATATCGGGTCCAGTTCGAAAAATAGAAAGGAATTGACGTTAACGATACCGGCACAAATAATTCGAATTTAGACTAATAAGTATTGGTTTTACATGCGATACGTCTGTCATCAATTGGAATCAGTGGGAAACGAACGCATTCATCTTCAGTAAGTAGGCTAGCGCTGCGCTACACAGAAACAACAGTAACGAGAACATGTTCGTGTATTATTCTGGATGGCTGAACGCAAAAGCGGGACTTTTAGCTGACTTGTCGGGACGGCGGGACAGAACTCTGAAAAGCGGGACTGTCACGCCTAAAGCGGGACGTATGGTAAGCCTACGTAACATGTAAAGAAACAATAGAATAACACACAAACTGTATAGAATGCAGTATGACAAAACTAGGATAATCAAGGGTACATTGTTTATCTAATAATTACTCTGTGATAAGACACTAACACCACGACTATATTATTATACGCAGTTTTAGAGCGAATGAATTTCTGAATAGACATATTCGCTTATGCGTGTTGCATAAACAGAAAGTTAACAAAACGATCAACTTGTAAAACTAAATTTAATTTAACATATATCCATTTATGACGCAATAATCGGGATTATGAAACTGTTGAAACTTTAATTTAATTTCGAGTTTTGTGTGGTATTTTAAATGTGGTCAATTGTTTTTTAGGATTGTAACAGGGTGTACATTTATCAGAATTAAGGCCCAAACGAGAAAGATGTCAATAATATTCGATTGTCAATTCCATGTTTTTATTCTATGCTTAGCCATGTGAGGGCCTTATAATGAAATTATCGGGTTAACTAACTTACCTAAATAACTAACCTACATCGGAAGCATTTTGCTTCTAGGAACAAGGGGTAAGCACGATTATCTCATCACGGATTTATTATAGAGTGTATTACAAAATTGCAAATTAAAGTCAGAATTGAAATTTCTGCACTGATAATTCTTTTAATCCTAATTTGGTTATTCTGCAGAAATCAGAAATTGGATCATTCATAGAGCTCCGTTATATTCAGTAACTTTGACATATTTTATTTTCATTGCCGCTTTTTCTCCTTGCCATGTTGGATACCAGTCTTCTTTGTTGTCCCAGAAATCCTGAAAAATATGTAAATTAAACCTTTGATAAATAATAGAAACACCATTGAAGTTTTTTTGTCAATTTTTGTTATATATGTGCGACGCTTATTCGCATTCTCTTACAGTTAACGATATACCGAATGGTCGCTAAAAACAGAAAATTTGTCAAACAGCTATTCATTTTTAAAAAATAACTTCACAAAGTTTTTTAAAGTTTATAAATAATAGAAACACCATTAAAGTTTTTTTGTTAATTTTTATTGTAAAAAAAATTGTAAATAAAATTACCTTTGCAGCGGTGGGTGAGGTGTTAGCCCAAGGTTTATTTTTTCTCTCCTGTCCATTATAATTATTGGCATCATCTGGGAAGTATCCTGCCGTTCCACCAACAGCGACGTTCATTAACAAATAGTACTTCTGGTCGAAAGGAGCAAGTTTTGAACCCGCAATCCAAGGATTGTTACCGTTATTGGTTTTCGTTGCGAAGTCTCCCCACTCGTACATTGATTGACCTTCATTAGGAGCAACGTTCAAAATATTTTCATCGTCAATGTAAAATCTGTTGAAAAGTATAATCTAATAAATTTCTGGCTGATTGAAGATTGATTATTTGAGTGAAATTACTAGTTAATTTTTATTTGGAAATCGTTGACAACAACGGCAAAAATACTGCTCCATCTGAATATATCTTGCTGAACGACTAAAATTGGCTGCCAAAGGACGCTCAGAAGTTGATCACAAATGGCATCTGCTGTACCTTGAATTCTGATAAGCATTAAGGTGTTTTTCATCTTTTACATTTTGCGATACCCATTCCTCTCCACAGTCTCATATATGAAATGCGTATTTGGATAGATATTCACCGTGACTCGTGTAGCTTTTGAGTGAAAAAAGACGGCTGGAATACTTAAATTTGACAATTTAATTCTTTTTGTAACCGATTGCAAGTACGGACGAAAGAACTGACATTCGAAAATAATATTTAATTGTATATTGTTAAAACTTACTTTAAGCCGCTGGGCCTCCATTCCAGAGTATATTTGTGGAAATCATCTGCGAATGTAGAGTCAGTCAAAGTTCTAAAACGGAAAGAAATAAGTTAACTGTAAAACAAGTAAGTCGACTTGCTTGTTTTACTCTTGATTGATTGTGATTCATCAATAACAAAAGTATATATAAAGTATATATTCTGGTCCGACATATGATGAATGCACATGCAAAATCTGGAGCAGATTCAATCTTGCTTTCGTGAGATATCGCGTGCATCTAACAGACAGACAGACAAACAGACAAATACCTATCAACATACTCACCGATTAAAATCGATAAGTAATAAATATTATCGGAATATCAATATCAGGAAATCTTCGTTTGGAAATTGGCGTGTTGATATCGGATCTGTAGCGGACATGTGGGGCACCTGGGACAAGTGGGACACGTAGGGCACGTGGGAGAAGTGGGACACGACATTTTTGAGACACCCATATATGGATAAATATATGTGTGTTGAGCGAATTAGACCGTCGCAACAAAAACGTCACATAATTGAGTTTTGATCATGTTAACAGGATCATACAGAACAAAGTGGTATTTCTTCTGTAACGTAAGATAAATCACGAAATATAATAAAATAATAATGAAATATGTGACCTATTTAGCTCTAAACTTTGACTTTGACGTGAAATTTCTATTCGTACCGTGTTCGAATCAATTGAAATATCAGATTAACTATAGTTCAGCCTGTTGTATACTATTTTTATGAGTTGTCCAAGATGCCGCGAAATAGCTCTTATGCCATATATTTCAAAATGCAACCTCACATTCTATTACGATACTTACTTACATAGAAAATCTGTCAATTTATTTGATTGTTGATGTTTTTTGTGCAATCAATCTTTTTTCTCAATTTCGTGAGTCTCCAAGCATTTTCATACATCAAAATAAGATCTTGTTTATTTAACCGCAGTACAAATTTGTCATTTTGATATGGAAGACCATTTGTGCATATTGATGCCCCAATAATTTGATTTTTCATTTCTTAGTCATTAGATTAGATGATTAAAAAATCTATTCTACATTAGACAGTCATACAGATGATAGCAAACTTACTTTGTATTATGCGTCATGAGCCAATTATTCCACGGCCAATAAGGTCCCCAGTGTGCAGTAGAACCAGAAGTATGTGCCCCAATCATCTTTCCGGACGCATCAGACAAATTCATGTTTCCTATATATATATATATAGAAAATGATAAAGGTTGGTAGACATTCTTCTTATATTCTCCATGTGCATTAGTAGAAGATATTTACCGTAGAAGTAACTGAGTGTAAATTTCACCATCGCATTTGACTTTCAAAGTTTAAGACTGTTCTTGCATTAATAGCTCACACTAAACAGGATAATCAGATTCTAGGGGAATTTGGTGGTATTAGTCAATTCATCTAATATTTTACACCCAGAGTTTAAAAAACTACAGGTTGTTTTATTTTCTTACCTCTACTTTCAACAATATCAATTTCGCCTGAAGCCGGCCAGTCACCGTATGCGTTCGTCGTTGGAAGCATCCATATTGCAGGCCATATCCAATCTCCAGCTGGTAACTGTGCTTCAATTTCGACTTTCCCAAATCTCAATGAATAATTATTTATTTATTCATTAAAAACATTCTAGTCTTTTAGAATGAGAATCTTCCTTTGTCTAAACTTTTACATAAAAATGTTACATTTTTTTGCAAAGTAACTGAACGATGTGCTCGAGAAAGCATAATCTTAAGTCGAAACGAAATTCCTTACTAATGTGAGCGATGTATTGAGATTTACTTATTTGCGAAGTCTAAATATACCTGAAATTCAAAGATTCGACAGTTCGCAAACGAGCAGACTGAATCGGGTTTACGATAGTTCCCCCGTCATAGTTGCCAGTTCTTTCGCATCCATACCATTGACGTCCGGTACACGTGTTTGCTGGAGATGAGCCTAGGCAATATAGAACTTATGGGCCTATGTCATTTAATTTCCAAAATAAAGACAATCGTCAATAATGCTTTGCGGAAGACGTTACAGTACCTCAGGAACATGAAACAAATCACACAATATATATACTTGCAAACTTCATTTCATTAACGCGCCCAAAAATAATCATTAGGCCTACATTTTTGTTGGACAAAAACATTGCGATGCCCGCTAGTTTTAATACATACAATCCTATTGCAATATTATCTAGTATCGAGAAATAAAAACATGCATTTAATAAACCATATTGTGTCTATTCTAATTGTTTATTTTACTATGTCCGTTTTATGACACTGCATTTAAATTTACAGTAGTAGTTTACCTTCCAGAGACAAAGTTCCGTACTTGACAAAATTTTCATCGTATTTATCTGAAGTTAGAGTCTGCAAATACAGAATAAGGAAATACAATATTTCAGTTACTCGCGGTAACATCATGTGTTAGCAGAAATCCAATTTTTGAGAGATTCGAATTGAATAGGATTCAATTAATGAAATTGGTATGCATTAAATATTTATTAAATTATTAATTCAAGAAATAAGACTAGAAAATTTTTATATTCCAGATTTTATTTAACGTTTGCTAAACAAAAACATAATCTTCAATTATTAGTCATTAATTGTACCGGTTTTAAATAGAGAACTCCGTCTTTGACGTAGCTATTTGAGCGGTTGTTTTTGTAATACTGAAATTCCCAATTCTGTCAAAACAATGTTTTAAAAATTATTCATAAAAACATTAAACTTTAGTTGAACAGGGTAACTAAAAAGATCACGAGAACACAGCGTTTACAAAAATAGTATTTCAAGTTCTTAAACTGTGTATTTCGAAGACATCAGATTAATTTTTTTACACAAATATGAAACTTTGTCCATAGTGAATATATTAGAAACGATCAATATTTAAAGATCATTTTATGAAGTGATCAAAGAATTTTGTTAGACAACCTTGTTTTGCCAAACTGAAAATACGTTTTACAGAATAAGACCAAAATAAGCAAGCATAAAAAATAACCAATAATGTATTTAACACCAAATGATACAATTTCTCAAAAAATTCGTACATGTTTTAAACCAAGTATTTTCTTAAAAAACACTTACCCCTCCACCACCTGCCGTAATTTCATGTTGCCAGTTTTCAAGATTCAACGTGTCAAATTCGTCATAAAATATCACATTTTCTAAAGAGATTAGAAGTCGATTGAAACCAAGAACGGGTATAGAGTATTGACCCAAACCCTTTGCATATAACTAACGGATTGAACTGCCGCTTTTCCGTGCCGGATAATACTTCATCACTTGGTGTGTGAAAAAGTTTGCAGCTAATAAAAATTTCATTTTATCCTCTTTCCACATTCTAAACACAACATGAATAGCAACTGCTCCATATTAAACAGCAAAAAGTATTGACTTACAGGAGAACAATGTTAATTATTGAGGCCAAAAAAATTTTCACCAATGGATTGATTATACATACAGTATATTAATAGAGTTATCAGTAAACGATGATTTACCAAATTCTTTCGTGGGGGTGGTAGAAGATTGTTTGCAAGAAAATGATAAACCAGTAAACATGAACAGCAGAAACAAAATGCACGATTCCATGTTTGTCTGAAGCATATGTATTAATTAGAACTATATTCTGGGACAAAACTGTATTGAAAAAGAAAGTATTATAAAATAGAGAATCATAAAAATCAAAGGTCATGTGCATTGCATAACGACTTTAAACGAAACCGCCGTATATTGTATACTGTCACCGACCAAATCAAACTATGAAAAATGTTACCTACGTATAGTATTGTTTCGGACAAAACGAATCTTGACGAATCTCTCTTTATCTGTTCATGAACGATGAACGATCAATTTTGTTGCGAATATTATTCGACTCGACTTTGCAAAATATATTTGCAATCTTTTATCGGCTACTTGTAATTCGGTAAATGACTCTTAAGTGATGCCATATATATTTACTACCGCTTATAACACTTTCAAAAGTACTTTTTGGTTGCAAAATATTCTGCGTCTTCATGGCGAACACGTCACTTCATTTTAAATATTTGATAGAGATATCACAAAAATACTACGATGATTATTCCCTTACAGTTATCGCAATGTGGAATGACATTTTCCAATAGGACTTGGCTAGGTATATTTCCAATAGGACAAATTTTTAACTCAATTGGGCATATTTCTTTTACATTCAAATAGTAAGTACATTACATTGTTGCGGCCACCTCAAATGCCCCGGCAAGTCGACCAGGGCAGAAATTCGAACAAATATGACAGATAACACGTGTCAAACAAACTTTCTTTGCGTAAAAAAAGCGGTTTATTGTGTTTTAAACGATTATTTTATATAGTCACCGGGAACAAATGAACTTGCGAAACATTTGTGACTAAAAATAAAATGCGAATAATTTCAAAAAATTAATAACTGTAGCTAACAGAATTGTTTGTGTAGAGCCAAAACTCGAAATTCTGTGAATCGGAATAATTTAGATTTGATACGTGAAACAACATGGTGCAACATTGGCTCAATACCAATACAATAAAAAAAATACGCATTCACATAATATATTAGAAGTTCACTCCACATTTGGAAGCCATTTTTTACGGGTAGAAGAAATTGGGCTCACTAACCGTACTAACCGAGCCTTCAAACTTGAATACAAACAAATGTAGAAAGAAATGAAGCTATAATAGGCTGTCCTAAAATGAACAAAAACATTTATATATATATACACCGTCCCCAGTTATTTCATGTTGTCATACGCTCAAGTCGGAAGTTTGGAATTCGTCATAATACATAACTTTTTACAAATAAAAAATAAAAAATGAAAGAACCTGAAAAATATTTCATTGAAAAATTTAGAACAATATTTTTGAGCTCAATAAAGCAAAGTAAAATGTTACAAAAACAATAGCATTACTTCAGCTGCAACTTCTAAAGTATAGCCAGATAAATAATCAATTAGATATTGCAACATACAATACATTGATATCATTGAATGAACATTGCGATTATTTCAAATTCACAAAGTAAGATTTTGCATAAGATATGCATTCCAATACTTTATCATTTAATAATATAATCTATAACTAACAACAAATGTCAAATATGGAAAAATTTAAAGCAAATAGAAAAGGCTATGAAGTGCTTGAACCTTTTAGGTCAAAATATCATAAATGCTAAAATTAAGTATTGTTTTCTTATCAAAATATCTCGTATATCTAAAGGTTCGTACGTAAAAGCTACACCGACAATCAAAATAGCAACAAAAAGAAGAGCAAGTTTCAATATTACCGATTTCAATTTCTGTCTCTCAAATCAACTTTTTCAAATGGCATTTTAAAATAGCCTACGAGATCCTTCAAAAAAAAAGTTTGCAGTCGATTACCTACTTTAAGGGTGAACCCGAACAACTCGCTCCTGCAAATGCAAAAATAATAATTGAGAGAATGCATGCACCGATGGTTCTCAGTTCGGTTTGGATTTAGGAAAAGACACCAAGGTAAGTTTTTCAACTTTCAGCTATAGTAAATCCTATCTGCTTCACGAACAAAATACAATGCTTTGCTTCATTTCCGCTGACCAGACAGTTTTATGTGGTTTCCTAGTTACGTAGGAGTTATTTTTACATGCCGTAATACGCTTTGGCTTTACATGCCAAGATAAGAAATTTCGGATACAAAGTGGGCTGATGAATCGTTTCACAAATTTTTGTTGTTTTTTCTATATTGGTATTTGAACCTTGTTTCTTGGAACATTTTGACGAATTGCCACATATTGCATACAGCGTTGATCGAATGGCCTAATCGTATTGCATTTTTATCAGACAATAGCAATATTCTGTACGATGGTATGCAAATTCTTTTATAGAGAGAATCACACTTGTTCTTATCAAAAAAGCATAGATAATACCCCTTTTTCTCGCCAATATTATAAGTTCAGAATCATAAATGACGCTTCCTTTCAAAACGTGATTTTAATAAATTTATGTATAGCGGGAAATGCACTATATCAGGCACACACCTTAAGACATAGATTCATAACAAGAAAATATTGAAGGAGTTTATACTGTACTTTTGTAATGTTTGAAGTGCCATATGTTTGACAGAATCGGTTCTAGGAAAATTTCGCCGCATAGGAAATATCGCCGTATGATAAATCGCCTTATTTAAAAAGATTCGTTATTTAAGAGCAGGGTCGTCCAACCTGTGGCCGCATGCCACATGTGGCCCGCCGAAGGTTTCTGAGTGCCCGCGCGGTATTATTCGAATCCCATTGTATTTCACAAATCTGGGCCTTTATTAAAACCTCTAATAAAAAAAATTATTTCTCGTCATTCAAACGCGCGAGAAGCACCACCCATTTCAATCTTTTTTTTGTCTTTTTCTGTGAAGCTAGAAAAAGGCAGTTTTCATGACCTCAATAGTTTACAGCACTTAGGCTACTTGTACGAGCAAGTTTTTTTGCAAATGAACAATGTCAAATCCCCCGTAAGATCAATAATTTCTGACAGTCATATTAAAAATTCGCTATGCATTGCTATCGCACCGAACATTGACAAACTTATTGGATAAAAGCGGTGTCATACTTAACTCCTTGTATTTTTATTGTTTTTATAATTTTGGTGTGAGGGTTTGGTTTGTTTTTTCATTAATCTGTAGTTGATGTAGGGAAAACTAGAACACAACAACCATATCAAGAGGCCCGCGCAATCATTTGTAAACTAAATGTGGCCCTTTGGCCAAAAAGATTGGACAACCCTGTTTAAGAGCGTACTTTAACACTGGCCCTATAAACCTAACTGTTTTTCTCGCAAATCGTTTTACATAAAAATGCTCTTGCGTTGTTTCCTATGCGGCGAAATTTCCTGCGGCAAGATTTTCTACGGAGAAATTCCTAGAATTTTCTGGGTCATTGAATTCCGACTATTTCGGACGACATCGTTGACATGCACGGACGTATGTTGTATCGCTTTTTTTCTTGTTTGCAATTTATTTTTAGCTTTCAATTTGCAGCGGAAATAAAACATGTAAAACAAATGGACGTTCGGTATGAATTGTACATGTCCAAAGATGGCAGTTCAAACTACAGCTGCGTTGTGTGCCTAAACCGCTACTCCTAAAAATATTTTCGCGAGGCAGAGCAAATGCTTCAAATGCACTCATTGCGGCGACTTCCTGTGCATAGGAAACGAAGAGAATAATCAGGCACACCAAAGTTCAATATTGGCGATGTGCGTTCCGTGACATATATCGCCAGTCCTTTTCTGTTTTTTATATTTTTATGCAATCAAACTGTAATAACACTGCAGATTGTGTGTTGTTAGTCAGATAAATTTAGAAGCGACATGTTCTGTGTAAATTCGCTTGTATATCACATTCAAGTCGTTGGCCGCTTCAAGTGTATGATCTTACCTGGGCTAAATGACGTTACACGCTTGTGAACGAAAGCAATATGTTGTTTTCGTAAGGAATTAAAGCTACATAATGGAACTACGCCACGGATTAATAGCTTGACGAAGTAATTCCATAACATCGTAAATGTGACAACGAAATAGGCTTGCACGTAATTTACGGATTTACGGAATTACGTAATTATTTGGAGTTACGGAAGGGAAGTTACGAATTACGTAAAGTCGTAATAATTGCATTGAAACGAGCTTTCTTCAAAGCAGTCAATTTCGTCGATTGCGAAAAATGAAAGCTCAACAAGTAGAAGAAGTTAGGGTTTCGGTATTCGCAGCCGTTTTGCTCCCTTTTCTCTCTCTTGTTACGTAGGTGAAGGAAGGCATGACGCGTTGCCATTTACTAACCTATTATCAACTTATCTGGCATGGCCAATGTTAATTATTAACGTAGTTAAGGGGGAAGAACTGAGTAGGGCCGTTTGACGCCAACACACCTGGTTTCAACTTCTCCCGCAACTTAACCGTAGATAAGGGATAGCATTGCGTTGAGACCGATTGACGCCAACACACCTGGTTTCAACTTCTCTCGCATCTTATCTAGCATGGCCATGGCCAATGTACATAATAACCGTAGATAGGGGGAAGAATTGTGCTAAGACCGATGGACGCTAACAGCCCGGTTTCAACTTCTTCGGGTGAAATGACTAATGAACGCAGGAGATCAATCTATCAAACATGGTCTATCAAACATTTGTATCCATTTTACTTTTATTTATTATTTACTTGTTCCAGTTTTCCGTTACTTATGGTATATATGTTCCGTTTCTATTTTATTCTATTTTATAGTCACGCGTTTAAATAGTGGGAATTCCCCACCAAGTGTGGATTAGCAATGCTTAACCATTCTTTATTGTTAATATCAACACTTGATATATGAACATGGAATATCATACTGTTTTTAGCTGTTTTGTTTCAGACTTGGGGAATAAACAGGAAAATATTCATAACCTTTCAACACGACGATCTTGTGAAATTTAACGAAGAGCTTTCGCGACGAATTGGAACCAAATAAGCCAAAAGAGCGATTGATCACTCGCGCCAATACCTCGCCGTGATAATTAATGTCGTGTTTATCAAATAGAAATATGACGACAAAAGAGAGATTGCGTAATGAACCAGCGCGAC